AAAGGGTGCTGAGTCATCCCGGAGAAGGTGTGCAAACACCGAAAAGGGTGCTGAGTCATCCCGGAGAAGGTGTGCAAACACCGAAAAGGGTGCTGCCATCAGGCGTTAAAAGTCTGAAAGAAGTGAGTGAGAACAACTCATCATGCATCTCTCCAGCCTCCAAGAGAAAATCTTCTTCCAGCCCTAATTTGACCCCAGACACATCTGCAGTAGTTTCTGATGCTTGTTCTCGAAGAGAAGGACAGAAGAACAGCACAGAATGTAAAGAGAAAGGACAAAAAGTTGTGTCGGAAGTGGCAGGAAGACGACAAGAAGGAGTAGTAAGAGAGCAAGTGGGTCTGGTACATTTAGTGACGGAGGTGTTGGCTGAACAGGCAGAGTCAGCGTTGGACATTGAGAGAACATATAAAATATCTCAGAGAGCAAGCAGGTCTGAAATGCTGTCAGAGAGGAGGGCCGATGCCAGATCCTTTTGGAGTGAATCAGTCAAGTCAGATTCCTTCAGATCAGGGAAGAAGACCGCTGTCAGGATAAATGTCCTACCAGAGGCAAGAGGTTCTAGGCATAAACTTCAGGAGAGTAGTTTGGATCAGAATCATGGAAAAACACAAAACCATGAGAGTGAACCATTGGCAGATGAGTTTGAATCCAGTGCAAAAGCAGAATCAAGTAAAGGTTCAACATTTGGGGAGAAGAGTAGCAGTGAGGCTGAGCACAAAGATGATTGTGAAAGTGAGACAAAAAGCAGCGATGAGGAGAGTGACGGAGGTTTTCAGAAGAAGCACACAGTTAGCAGGAGAGTGATGATCACTGGTGACCAAGAAGAAGGTACAGATACAGAAGAGAGTGAGACTGAGAAGCCAGAGAGTGAGGATGAAGAAGAAGATGCAGAAGAAAGTAAAGAAAGTGAAACTGCCGCACCAGAGAGTGAAGAGCAGTCACAGAGTGAGACTGAGAAGATGGGAGAGATGTTGGATGGGGTGTCAGCAGAAGAAGAGGAAGATGATGAGGAGGATTCTGGAGAGGAAGAGAAAGATAAAAGTGGAGGAGAGGAAGATGATGAGGAAGACAGTGATGAAGAGGAGAGTGTTGATGATGTGGAACAGGAGGGAAATGAAGAAGATGAGAATGAGAGTGATGTTGGAGAGGAAGTGGAGGGTGATGAAGAAGATGGGAATGAGAGTGATGGTGAGGAGGAAGAGGAGGGAGATGTAGAGGAGAGTGATGGTGAGGAGGAAGAGGACGGAGATGAGGAGGAGAGTGTTGGTGAGGAGGAAGAGGAGGGAGATGAGGAGGAGAGTGTTGGTGAGGAGGAAGATGAGGAGGAGAGTGTTGGTGAGGAGGAAGAGGAGGGAGATGAGGAGGAGAGTGTTGGTGAGGAAAAGGAGGATGCAGAAGAGGAAATGGACCATGGCCTTTCACTGAGTGAAGAAGATAAGGAATCAGGTGAAGAAGAAACAGAAGAAGAAACAGAGGAGAGCGGTGGTGAAGACGAGGGAGATGAGAATGAGAAAAAGGACGATGAAGCGGAAGAAGGAGAAGGTGTGGAAGAAGAGGATAGTGAAAATGAAAATAAAAGTGAGCATGAGGAAGCAGAGGATGAAGAAAATGAGGAGAAAGAAGGAAAAGTAAAAGAGGAAATGGAGGAAGAATCAACGGGAAAGAGAAAAAAGGGTGAAGAGCGACAGAAATCCAGACCAGCAGTGGCCGCCCATAAGAGCAAGTCGGGTAGGTTGCACGCCAGAGGCGGGCCGAGTGCAGCAGAGAGCCGCTCACAGGAGTCCCAGCGGTTCTGGAACAATGTTCTGCCTCAGTACCTGAACCTGAAGTGAAGAGGCGCGGTTCCAGACCACAGGGCGTCTCTGGTATGGCTGCTTCAGGTCTCACCAAACATTATGGAAGTTTTCCTTCCTCCAGCTCAGTATTTTCCCCGTTATTATGGTCTGTCACTGCATACTTCTGTAAATATGTACTTTTAAGTAAAATGACATTCAAATCTGTTTTCTTGTTCTAGTTTCTTTTTATATTTATATATTTGTTGTGTTTATTATTGTTGCTTTCAAATCAGATATGAAAATTGAGTAGAATGCAAGAAATAGTTTTAATTAGTTTAGATTGTTTCTGTTGTTAATTTTCTATTGAACATTAGGCATTGTAGAAGTTCTGAAATGGTTGTGAGACAGAGTTGGAAATCTAAGCATTTTAAGACCAGCAAGATCTTATGCTGATGCACGATCAGATTTCCCAGTCCCAATCCTAGAATTAACCAATATTAACGGGTCTTGGGTCTGAAAATGCTTAGCGCAAAACTAGTGAACACTCAATCAATCAAAGAGGCCAAACCACAGATGCTTAATTTAAAATTACCTGGCACATCTAATCTAAAAAACGCACTACGGTGGACTGGAGTTACAAAGTGATGTGAATGTGTGAGCCCCAGTACTGGGGGGGAAGCACATCTCCCCGGCTTTCACCTCCCCTGATGGTATACGTGCCCTGCGATGGGTTGGCACTCAGCCTTGGGTTATTCCCTGCGTTACACCTTATAGCTTCCTAGACAGGCTCCACATCCCCATACTGCATACGAGAAGCAGGTATAGAACATGGATAGTTGGGTGGAAGTACTTGCTACTGCTCTTTCCTGTCTTCATGTGAGGGATTCCACTCCCGTAGGAAAGTGGAGCAGCAGAAGCAGCTATCGCACAGCACCAGGATGGGTTCTCATCATGCATAGTTTCTGCTGATGCCAGTCAAATACCCAACAATATTAGGTACCATGCATGTACGTGTGTAATGGACTTGCATTTATTTTCTTCAGTGATTTTCCCTAAATCACTTCACGTTCACATATACAAACACATCAAAACACAACACAATGTGCAAGTAGAAAATGTCTGAAGACAACGGAGGACTGGAATCCAAACTCTTCTAGGTACAATAGGAGGAAAAGCCAATGGAGGTCCAATGTCCAATGAAGGGCTGTTTGGTATCCATACAAGTTCAGTTAGATATCAAAATATCAGCTTTGTAAGTCATGTTCAGCTGGCCTCTGTCGCAGTATGATACCGCAGTGTTCAGAAACCTCCTTAATATTACAGTGCTTCTTAATTTTGATGGCATTGGAGGACAGAATAGACTAGATGATGCCTCCTCTGGCATTCAGTTGTATCCTCTAATATAACCAAAATTTCTGATCCTGATTTTTTATTTTTCGCGGATATAGTACTTGACTGTGTCATTGCTCTGTAAGTTTTCGTTCACTCAATTCAATTTATTTTTATATAGCGCCTTTCACAGCAGAGTGGCTACAAGGTGCTTTACATGGGTGTGTAGTGCATTACTTCATTTATGCTGAATAAAAAAAAATGAAAAGGGTAGATAAAACAGCAAAAAATGAAAGAAAGAAAGCCAGATGACAATGGAGGAGAAGAACCAAAAACTCAAGTAGGCAGGAAAAAAACCTATGGGGGTCTAAGGTTACCCAACCACCCCTGGGCATGTTAACATTATAAAATAAAGAAAGAATGGGCTTGCTTGTTAAAAGCAAGGAACAAACTGGTCAAGGTCAAAGCCAAAGGCCATCAGTGAGTCAGTTCTCCATACTGACCTGTGAGTTCAGTATTTTACCTCAAATATGTGACACAATACTTTTGAGGTCAGGTCCTGGAACACAGCTGGGATATATATTAGTTTTAGCTCCAGGTGATAACCGAAATAATGAGTCTCTTCCCACTTGACCACCACTTGGTCAGTTGTCTTTGTACTTGCTCCTTGTGTGTTTCCCCCCACTTTACAGACTGTAGTCATGGGTTTGTAACCAATTTAATCTGTTTTGTATTTATTTATTTTCTGTTTCCCTGGTGTTTATTTTCTATTGATTTCTCTGTCTTAGGTTTTTTTCATGCTTGTGTCCCGTTTGCATTTTTTAATTGCTTGTTGTTATCTTAGTGTAGTCATCCCAGTTTGTGGTTTGGGTTTTTTGGTTTCAGTGCTTGTTAGAGTTCCTTGTTCTGTGCCTGTTAATTGTTCCATCTGTTGCTCATTGTCCTGTGCCCTCAGTGATTGGATAATTGTCTTATGTTCTTCATCTGCCCTCTCCTTAGCCCGGTTGTTGAGTCTATTTATCTATTTAAGTGCCTGCCCCATTTTGTCCTGTGGTTGGTCATTGTGCTAGTGTTCTTTGTAAGGGTAGTCTTCTTGTAAAGTGGTACTGATAATTCTCATGCATATATCCAAGGACATGAATCCAACCTGGGAATACAGGAATTTAATAATGTATTTCAAAGCATCCATACAATATCAAGATATTTTCACTTCCTTTCCATGTGCTTCTCAGACTGTTTTAATTGAACTGTATTGTTCTTTGTACATTTTTACCAGAATTTAAGGACTACTCAGAGTGCTTAACCTTGAAAATGTGTTCTGAATGTCAGTGTGTTGGAGCTGCGTGAGTTTAAATAGCTAAAAATATCATTTGGTCGAAAGAAACCATTATAATGTCTTGTCACATTTACAATAACCTTTCATCATTTACAATAGCCTACAGTATTAGTTACAAGAAGTTAAGCTAGGCTATGATGTTTGTTAGGTTAGGTGTAGTGTATTAAAATGCATTTTTTCCTTATGATATTTTTGCCTTATGATAGACTTATCAGAACGTAACTCCATCATAACCCAGGGAGCGTCTGCACTTTTTCTCATTTTTCTCACTTTGACTTGCCTTTGTGGATCTTGTGTTGTTGCTTGTAAACCACTTCATGGTCCCTGGAGCTCAGAACTGGAGTTGACACCAGATGTCCTTAGTCGAGCCAAAGCTCGGACATGAACCCCTTAGAAAATGTGTGGAGAGACCCGAAGATTGCAGTTCACCATTGCTCCCCATCCAATCTAACATGCAATTTGACAGAGGTTGCATGAAAGAATGGAGAAACTGGCCAGATACAGATAGCTGATAGAGTCATGCCGGAGAAGATTTGCAGTTGAAAAAAGTGCAGAAGATTGTTCAAAATATCCAATGTTTGAATAATGTGATTTAAATTCTAAAAACATTTTCACTTTGTTATTATGGCATATTATGTGTTGGAAGAATAAAAAAAAGAATCAATACAATGCATCGCAGTTTAGGAAAAGCAATGGGGTCTGTATATTTTCTGAAGTAATATGTTAAAATGGAAATGTTATGTTTTTTTTCAAAGTAAAGCATTCTCATTAATTAAGGGATATCTATCTATAGAATCCAGCGACTAAGATTATCTATAAAGCAATACAGTATATTTGTTAATTTATTAAGTATAATACTTTTTCTTACCCTAATTATGGGAGGATGGAGAAATTGAATCCCTTCCCAAATGATGCAGTTATTCTGTCAAGTTCATTTTGTACCCTTATTCCACAGGTGGTTCCAGTACTCGCAAATTGTTGAGCACAATGAAGCTGAGATTGATTTCTTTGTTCAGACGGAGCTGCCTCACTGAAACCAGTTAGAGACCAGTGGATTTAAGAGATTTTTCAAACTCCATTTTACAGGAGACGATTGCATGTACCTCAGGTTATATCCGATATGTGATTTATCTGGGCAGAACAGTTTTATCTTGACTGTGACAGTTCAATAATGGCATGAAAGTGATATGTGATGAGACATAAACCAATTGAACATGCCAGCAAGTCAGGGCTGAAGTTCATCTTGAGAACATTGGGTGAGCATCATGGTTCCTGCTCATGTTCCTTGTTCCTGATGTCCATATGCGGTACATCAGTGTGATTTTCTTCCTCTATTAAGTTATCCCTCATTACATGGACTCCATGATTAGTTTTCCATTTTTACTGACTTCCCTCCCAAAATAACAATGTTTATATATATATATATGTAAATGTGTATATATATATATTTTTTTGTCTTGAAGTTCCACCTGCAATTGTCCCTGGAGTAATTGGAGTTAAGGGCCTTGCTGAAGAGACCAGTGGTGACCACTGGATTTGAACCAGTGGCCTTCGAATCATAGGTACAAAGTCTTAAACCACACACTGCATTTTAGATGTCCTTAGTTTGGCCAGCAAGATATCCAGGATTTACCACAGGATAATAACAGGGGCAAATTAAACATTACAAATTGATATGAATTAATGTAGACCCAGAATTAGGTTTAGTTATTTAGGGATTTGCTATTCACAGACTCCCATGGCAGGGTTAGGGTTAGGGTTAGGGTTAGGGTTAGGACCATAAAAACTGGGGATTTTCACACAACAACAGACACATGAGAAATCATTAGTCAGCGGTAAAAAAAATACTTGGAAATAGTGCTTATTTTCTGACAAAACTATATGGATGTAAACCAGTTTTAAATCAAATTTACAGTAATTAAAGACCAATGTTTGGGCCCAAAGCCAGAAGTGAATTTCATGGGATGTCCAGCAACTCCATGAATAGCTACCCGTCAGCAGATTATTGTGGATTTCAAGCAAAATTTGGGAGGAGGACGGGTCCAAACCCACAATTTTATTACCTGTCTCTGTGCCTGTTGTAAACTCTAGTCAGTGACATGACTCATTTTGCCAAATAAATAATTAGGTTTTCTTCTATAAAAAGCTACAACGCTCATTCATACAGTATAGCTGTACGGTTCACCATGCTATGGCTCAGGATCAGTGGTACCTCGCAGTCTGCATTCCGCTGTACCAGGTACCTCGCAGTCTGCATTCCCCTGTAAGCTCTTTACAATGTATTCAGGTGAATTTTATTTTTGACTCTTTTTTTTATTCATATATCTATTCAGCATGAACTCAGATTTGTATGTCGTGGTGCAAAATACAGCAACACCGAAAAGTGTCCATGCAATGAATTACGTCACTGATGCTTCCTCTGTGTAAGTGGATCAACATCGTCTCGGCTTTCCGCAGAAAAATATCACCTGCTGCCAGCAGAGGGAGTATCAGACTTTTGCCACAGACACGATTTTTACGGCTGATATATGTACTATTATTTTTAGCACCACATTTCTTTATCCAAAGAGCTTCTGTAAATCTATTGCCTTTGCTGCCATAAGAAAGGATTTTAATGCACTTAAGCTATTGTTAAACAAGTCCATCAAGTTTCTTGGCTGTATATCTGTTAAAACAATCAAAGAGCATTTATTTGCAATTGTAGGCAGTCTTAGGATTGAATCCACATGCCCACTGAGGGACCTTTAGTGCAACATGAAGATTTTGTGAACAGAAAATCATTTTTCATGTTGACCTAAGGTGCAACAGCTATTATTACAATGAAGATTATTACAGCATCACAATTGCCACACATCCTGTAGAATATGGGACATTCTACATGGCAAAATGAAACACTGTGTCCAGTTTTGGACCACACAATCGATCACCCCACCCTAGCCAGTACTTCTATTGTCACACAGTGAAACTGTCATGCTACAGGTGCAGGGGAGGAGACAGTTGCATGGGGGGACAGGACAAAAAGAGCCAAAGTCCAATCTGAGACACAACAATGCAATATAAAAAGGAGAAAACAAGTAATAAAAGAATACGTAAGTGTTACATTAACTACAGTGTGCAATACAACGCAGTGGGAGGACAGATGCGGGTCATGGTTGTTTAGCTGGAAAACGAAATAGTCAAAGATTATTGCTTTGAAAATGAAAGGACTGAGGAACCAAACAGTTTTTAAAGAAATCTTGTTTTGGACATTGTAGGCAAATGCTAATGATGCTTACAGCAGCCGGCTCATCTTAATCCAATGTCACTTTTGTGGGTCTGATCATGTGACTTTATCTCTGGTCACTGGAAAACATGAATTACTGCAATGTTTACCATATGATTTCATAGGTCTCTTATAATTGTGGTGCACCTACCATGCACAATGGAGCTGCAGCTGGAGCCCCCGATCTGCCTTCCTTTGGCTATATATACTTACTTTTTACTTAATTAAGAGAGGCTCCTCTGCAGAGGACAATTCCCGCACTGCAATCCCACCACTGGTGCAGCCTTTTAAATGTGGCTATACAGGACATTATGCTTAATTATTAAGTCACTGTATAGCTCAGTGGCATAGGGATTAGAGCCCACACCCAGTAGTATGTGATATCAAATCCCTTGGTTGCCAGAGTAATAATAGCACTGTAGGGCCCTTGACCCCAAATGCTCACTGGTACATTGCTTTTAACAAAAAGTGTCTACTGAATTAATGTATGTCAGTCCTATTGATTCGGCTATAATATTATTTAAGTATTGTCTACTAATCTCACCACTTTGAAGGATGTTCTTATATTTTATCTGAATTGCTAGCAAAATCTTTTTAATCCCCATCGGACTGGAACTGTGAAATAAGAGTATACAGGATTTTAATACGCAATTTTCTAAAGGGCCGTAATATATACAGGCACGGTAGCTATACAGATAAGCACAAAGGCTAGGGGCAAACAGATGGAGTAAGGTGAGAGAGCCCAACCAGTCATTCATTCAGATAGAGAAATTTGTAAATAATCATAATAACAATAATAATAACTTTTATAATAAATGATTATACATTGATATGGCTAACACAAAGCTTTCTAGAACTAAATACTGTTACTGTATGTTCAAATTGCATTTTCTTCTGACCAGTAGGGGGTGCAATTGCACCCCCGTTAAAATCGCCTATGGACTAAATCATAATTAGTGTTCGATACTAACTAATTGTATAATTAAGTACTGTGCATAAACAACTTAAGTTATAAGTCTTCTTTCATGCTGAAAGAAGACAGTGAATTATTATGGCTGCAAAACAACAACAACATTATCATTATTTTAATTATTATTAGTATTGTTATTATTACTACTACTACTACTATATAATAATTATAATAATAACTTAAAGTATCCACATGAAAACCCAGTATTTTCAAGTTACAGTTTATTAGCAATTTTGTCTTAAGGCAGAACTTTCACCCCAGAAAATCACAGCAAATTATAAGCCCAAATAAATAGTCAGAATGAAAATATATTATAAATTAAAAATGAATCATACACATTACGTCTTATAGCCTTTAAACAGTGGAAACAGAATAGTGCTCAGAGCTGTAAGACTCGAATGTATTTCGGATCTATCTTCAAATCCAGTGCGGCTTAACTGAAAGTCTTTAACAGAATTTCCTTGGTCTGTCACGGCCTCCACACAAGAGGAATCCAGGCACCTGAAAGGTCTAAAGTGTAACACTACATTATGGCATTGGTGAGAACTGAAACTATTGCATAGATTTCTTTGGCATCTAGAGGTGAATAAAATACACAAATGTGGAATCTGAGGCAAAGAAGACTGTCACGGTGTACTTGAAAGGTGATACCAGTAACACACCTTTATAAACAAATAATGCAACAAAACATGAATAACTGCCAAACATCTGCAAACATCTGTTCTGCAGTTGAACAACAAATATGTGAAAAAGTATCATTTCCATAAATATATATTTGTATATCATCATATTAACATGCACACAATCTGGTATTTGACATATAAGGTATATGAAATTTACAGCAAAATAAAAAAATAAACATACTAATATAACATTTTGGATATTAATATTTATGATACGATACAATGTGGAGATTTAATGACTGACTTTTTGGTGACACCATTACTGTACAATATACAGACTTTCTGAAATGCTTCCAGTCTCATGCAAATGTGCTGCAAAAATTAAACTAACGCAATCCTCCACAAACAGAATAACAGCACTAAATTACCTTAGCTTAAATGTTCCAGCTTTGAAAACATGAGGCGATGTGCAATTCTCCATGCTAAACATGTGACAGGAGTTTTTCCATGCTCATTTCCAGAAAACATTATAAAACAGCCACACATCTTAAGCACTAATAATGTAACTATATCGAAATTCAGACGAAACATGGATTTTTATCAAATGATGTCCTGCACCTGCAAAGAGTATCAGTTATGGTGTTTCTGCACCAAGGGGTATGGAATTCCGCTGTTAATTACTGTATTGCACAATTATAATCTAATAATATTTCAGATAACTATGTTTTGCCCCTTTTTGTGCAGGAGATTTAGAATATAAACTCTCAAACACAATTTTCATACACATTATTCCAGCTACAATCTGTAATGTGAAAAATAATCTAAGTACTAGATCTAGGTGCAATTTTGCACTGGTACAATCAACATTGTCTCCCACTGTTTCAATTGTAAATCGCATGCTCACTATACTGAGTTGCCTTGCTGCCTCTGAGCGGACAGCTCCTTCAAATAAAGGGTTGCGTGAATGAAGAAATGAATCATGCTGTTATTCTCAGATGGCTCTGGCCTTGCACGTCAGCTTAAGATCATTATGCGAGATGTTTACACAAGACATGTCACACCACCCACCCAGAAGGCCCCCGCATTCTGCCCTGGGCTTCCTGGTCAGGACTGCATCGTGATAAGAGATTCTGTATGGATGAATGCACTCTCCATTTGATATATATTTATATGTATATATAAATACAAGCAGTATAGCTATATTGCCTGCGAGACTAAGAAAACCATAATAAACAAACAGTAAAGTAACAAATGGTTCCTGGTATATCGCAATTATTAATTAAAAACCAATACAACAGCCCTTGAACTCATTTGTTGTTCATTGTTTTTCCAGCATACATTATACCATATTATATTTATAAATAAAGGTTATTGTGATTATTTGGAAAAGATGGCTTTTGGCTCTTTTTACTACTCATACATGCGTAATTAATGCCACACCACAGGGACACTGTGCCATAGAATCGAACGTTTATCGAAACGCAGTATCTCTAGCATTATATAGCCACAAGTATGGGAACTGACACGTCGAGTTGGGATGTGCAATCTCTATACCAGTGTTTCCCCCAATCCGGTCCTCGTGGACTCACAGCCAGTCCACGTTTTTGCTCCCTGCCTGGCAGGAAGCTCAGAGGAAGCAAAAACATGGACCGGCTGTGGGTCCACAAAGGGCGGATTGGGAAACATTGCTCTATATGTAACCTTTTTCGCACACATATTGTGCACAGACCATTTCCATGAGCTGAATGCAATACTGACATCGTAAGACCAGCATAAGTAAGTTGCTCAGCCACTGGCAGTGATTATGGGTGAAGTGACAAGCTTTAATCGGGGGTTCCACTCTCAGGAACTGCTACATCGTTCAAGGTGTCCTTGTCTATAGCTCTGGGTGACTCCAGAACCGACTTTTCACATTGTCCTGCATCTAAGCGTGACCTGCACAAGAGGCAGAGAACACTGGACCATTCCCAGAGGCCACGGGTGATGCTGGAGGAGAAAAGTTTCTTGCAAGGGTGGCAAAACTGGTAGAAGACCAGCATGAAGAAGATGGCAATGGCATAGCCGATAAGCAGCTGCAGGACCAGCAGGGGACCACTGATGAACCTGTAGAAGTCAGTCTGAAAGACATACCACAGAAGAATGAGGGTCGCGTTCTCCACGAACCGCAGCATGTAGTAAACGGCCATGCGGTTCCAGTTCTGGGACTTGTTGATCAGGTCTGGGTCGTTAAGCTTCAGCTGAACTGCCGACCAGCAGAACATGTTAATGCCGGCGTACAGGAAGGTGAGCAGGCACAGCACCATGGTGGTGCCCACCCGTGTAAACGTCTTCTCAATGTTCTCGGGGAAAGGAGACCTGCTCATCCAGAACAGGATCCAAGGGTATGAGAAAAAGGTAAAGAAGTTGATGAGGACCACAGGCAGGATCCAGATCTGAAGGACAGAGCTGAAGAGGACCAAGACCACCACCCTGGTCGCAATCTCGAAACTCCTCCAGAGGAAAATACAGAGGTAGGCTAGAGGTTTCACGTTCACCTCGTAGTCGTCGTACTTGATTTTAATGGCAAGGATGTTGCAGCGTAAGGCGCCGTACACTATAGACAGGAGTGAGATTACCATCAGTGTACCTGGGAGGAACAAAGTGAAACACACCAGATGAAGACAGAAAGTATCTGAGACCACAGCAGCTACATTACTATGAACAAAGAGGTCAATCCAGTTCTTTCTCATACACTTGCACTGAAAATATGAAAAAAAAAGTGTTTTGTAGTTTCAAACAGGTTCTCACTTCAATTAAAGCAAATGCGTGAAAAAACACTGTAAAATACGGCATTTAGAAAACTTGAGATGTCCTTCAAGATGCATTTCAAAAATAACTTCTTAACACAGCAGTCTGCCAAGTACAAATTTATCTTGCTGTGAAGATAGAGCTAACAGGATTTTTTGATGCTGGTAGGTGACGGGGGGTCTGTTATACTTGAGCAGCTGAATACAGTTTTTCAGCATAAAGAAATTAGGCATTTAAAAGAAAAAAAATGTGGTGTTGATTTAAATAACACTTGCTTTTCTTTGAGAGCTCCGGAGGTGAAAATCTACACTAACGACTTACTGTACTGGGGATGTGTACAGGTTAGTAGTATACGATGTGTAAGGGTTAGCAGTATATGGTGGAGTATCCATACTCAGTAATCAAACATCTCATGGAAGGACTCTTCAAATTAATTATGTCTTTAACAATGGTTACACATCCTTAATTTAATGGGACAGGACATAAATTTTCATAATAATGTTGGCAGAAAGGGTTGTAAGCTTGTCAGATTGATTTCTGTTATCTACAATGGTATCAGCGGCTGGAATTTGCAGTGCACCTTCTCTTGCCCCCACCAGGTGATGAATGTACCGGGTGGTGAACTCACTGGTGTTGCCTGAACTGGATTACACTGAACTATTAAAAAAACCAATCAAAGGCACACTGGTGCAGCTGGAGCACGCAGGCTACCTCTGCCGATGGACACTCTCTGCTGCAGCACACAGATGTAGAGCTGCAAGGTCAGCTGAGGGGCGGAGCCCAGGAAGGCCTGGATGACGGAGGTCCGGGCGAATGCGGCACGATGGGCCACCAGCTTCCCCTCAGCCTGGCCCACCTGCTTCTCCACCTCCTCTGCTAGCCCATTTCTGGGCATCTGCTTTTTCCTGGTGATGCTCACGTACGGCTCCTCGATCTTCCCGATGCTGCCATAGATGCAGAAAGCCTCCAGACACCTGTCGGGTCACCACAAGCCACAGGTGTTACACTCTGATAACAAATCCTGGTTCCTTGGAGACAGCAGCGATGAGGAAAAGTACATAAGGTTTAAGTGCTTAAGTAGTACGTATACTGCTGAGCTCCAGTCCCTCCAGTCCCATCTCTTCTTCCCCCCCCATCCTAAGTGACCTTGCACCCCTCACATAAAAGTGCCTCCTTACCATCCTGGCCCATCCAGGGTTCCTGTGTATAAGCTACCATAGCAGGCAGCACCCTAACAGCCCAATCATCATCACCCAGACAACACAAAGCAGGCAGTATTCATTATAAAACCATATATAGTCTTATAACATCATATGTCATTGTATACTTTAGATTCCAGTGTATTACAGAACCTCAGGGTATTACAGTCTCAAAGGCCAGACCCTCAGTCATTCTGTTCCATCCTAGAAGGTACATCAGTGAGGGGCTGCAGGTTTAAAGCAGGTAAATATGAAGGGGAATTTCTAAAATCATCAACTGTGATTGCAGTGCACGGGTAATACCAGGAAAACCAGGCAGGAACACAGAGCCAGCATACTGGTTTTCTTCTCTTACTACTTGCCCAGTCTGTGAGTATATACAATATGTGCTGTGTGACGGGCCTCCTTTCCAGAGTGTGGCCCTACCCTAAGCTTCCTGGGATATGCTCTGCACACACTGCAACCCACTAATGGACAAGCACTTAGAAAAGAATAGAAAGCGCTATTATTAAGTCCCACTTGTCTTATTTATTATGCACCACGTTATTGATTAAGTAGAACACATCTTTCCTGAGTATTCCATTAGTCTGTTTACATATTTTACCCCCAAAATGAGTATTATTATATTTATATTTATAGTTGCAATTTTAAAGAGTATGATTGCTGCTTTATTTGGCGGACCGGTCGGCGCCACGTACAGCATCAAGGCTCGCAGGAAGATACCGACCGCTGCACGGACCCGCCCTATGCAGGGTCCATCAGCAGGCTGGCCTGCTGTAAACACCAGACAGGCAAACCGAAGCAAGTGGGTGGCGTATTGCCTTAATAACTAATGTTTGGGTAGAGGAGCGACATAACTGTGACTAAGTAATGTCCGACGCAAAAGTACAGTGATTTAATTTCCCTTATTCATTTATGTCAGAAAATTCGTCAAAATCCGAATCGAAAGAAATAATTTCCCGGATCGAAACGCTGCAAATTAGCGACGATCAACCGGTTACAAACATCAAAACACAACAAGCGCCGAATATGCCTCGACTGAGCGGAGCGCTCATGTAAATGACATGCATTCGTACGGCACGCAAAGGGACGCAGGTTCTGCGAGCATAACGCACCTGACAATCGGTCCGAGCTGCAGGATGTGGAGCAGCAGCACAAGAGGTTTATCTTTGCTGAGATCCCTGTGGATGAAGGTGAGGGTTAGCTGTACCAGCACGGACGGGACGAGTGTGAAGAGAAGCGTGAGCCCTTGCCAGATCTGGTCCCCCGCAAATCGGTACGTGCTGCTGAGATATAAAGCTGCCGTAGTCTCGGCGGTGAACAGAGAGACGGACACAAAAATCGAGCTGGGTAATCTCATCCTCACACATCCATTTGTTGTGTTTCCCCCCTTCCTTTTCTTCACATCACGCTGACTGCCATTTCTCGGGGATGGAGGAGGCGCCCGGCGATGGAGATGTCCTCGGCGGATCAGACTGTTTTCAGCCTAAAAGCTGTGCTGTCTCACTGACTCTAGTTGGCGCAATGCTGATGAGTGATATGAGGACTATAACCAGTGTCCACCAGTACGCTATGTAGTTTTATTTTATTCCGACATTAAAAACATAATTGTATTGAACATACTTTTATTCAAGTTAGATTCGTGGCAACGGTGATTTAAAAGATTTGGTAGGCGTATCTTCAAAGCAAATCGATCAGCTGTTCATTTTACCTGCTCTTTTTTTAAGACAAATTGTACAAAATGAGAGAACAGAGTCAGCCTGATTTCCCCGCGTTTGTATGGATTCCTCTACAGCCCGAACGTGGTGGACGTGCAACCCGTCCTTCGTGTACCACAGCTTGTGTGTCCCTGTGGGTAACACTTTATAATACTGTTCCGTAGTTAACAGGTAAATATGCAGGAAGTAAGCAGCAACAAAGGAGTAGCGCTTCATTAAAACCTAAATTGGTACTATTAACTACTAAGGAGTTATGCTTAATTACTCAATAGGTAATTATTATAGTAGTTCTCTATTACTTCATTAGGAACTATTGAGTATTGCTGGTCTCATTGGGAATTATGTACTAACTATGGATTATTTCTAATAACTACTAGTTCATTACTCATCAAATGAACAGTGCTTTTTTTGGACTAACAGGAACTTACAGGCTACTGTTCTGAATGGTTTTTGCCATTTTTTTTTCCTTTTGGAATAACAGGCTTGTTTCTTCCTACTTGTTTGTATGACATACAACTTATTCTACAAAATATTACTGACTAAAATATGTATACAGTACCTACATTTTAATTATTTACCTCACTTCAGTCCGTGTGCCAGTGTTCTTCAAACTGTGCTTTGAAGTCCAACTGAAGGGATGGTCAAACAGAGACTCGTGTTTTGCCACATGATGTGCTCCACCACATATTGTTGATCTTTTCTAAACATTAAGAAATTAATGTATGCATTTTAAATAAGGAATGAAGTCTTACTAATGACCTAAATAAAACTAATTGTAATTCATTAGTAATGAATGTGGCGTTACTGACTTCTTCCATAGGAGTTACTAAAGAACAAGAACAGTATTATAAAGTGAAACACACTGTAACTCATTAGTAATGAATGTGGTGTTAGAGTAAGCTATTTCTTTCACAAACATTTACTGAGTTCTTTTTAAGCGGTTAATAAGAACAATGAATGTTAACATAGCTTATTTGTTTCACTTAAACATTCATGTAACACTTCATGACATAACAGCATAAGTTCATTTTAAACATTTAATTTGAAGCACGTTATATTAACATCACAACTTAATTTTTAAAATCAAATTACTTTACACTGATTACACATCCATCCCATTAAAACTATTTACACAGGGTATTGCTTTCTGCATGTAACAAACTTCCAAGTGGTCCATCCTTGTGTTTTTGGTCCAGCCAGCAGGTCCACTCAATCGGTCTTTGTCCGCTGACGTCACACTCGCTATAGCCGCAGTGTGTTTGTGTGTGTGTACCTGCCTGTGTTCTTCTCCTCAGTTGGTCATTGTGAGACGATACTCTCTGTGTTAATTACTGTGTGTTGTATTCTGCCTGTTGCTTGGTCCTGTTCCAGTCTTGCCTGGTTCCTTTAGCTGGTGTATGTACTGTATGGTCCTGTCAATTATTTCCCCCTGTTTAGTTCTGCCTCCATGTGGTCTATTTGTTTTGTAGTCTACCCAAGTGTGTCCTTTAATAAACCCCCTTGTTGTCTCTGAGCCATAAGTGGATCGTCACCTTCTTTTCCTGCCTGCACCATGCCTCATAACAAAGCATGCTTTAATATTCCATTCCGTTTCTAGAATACTTTCCTGTTTTAGATAAGAGCAACAAGGCTTTTAATTAGTTAGGCCTGACTTCTAATTAGGCTCCAATTTAAATTAGTCAATTCAGACAACTACTGTAATTCGAAAAGCAAATGAATATAATTTGTATATTTTAATTTGATGTAGAAATTAAAAATAAATATTAATATAAGATTTTTTTTCTCAGAATCAATCAATACCTCAGTCCAACCCGTTTAATTAAGATCTGAGCTGTAAGAAAGAAAAGGCAGAATGTAGCACAGGGATTGAGGGCAGGGATTTGAAGAGTCCTTTGCGTTTACATTTAATTACTATTCATTGATCATTGGGGATCGTTTTCAGTGCTGTTTACGTGCAAGTGCATTCTTATAAGTCACATTTTAAAGTGCGCCATTGTTTGTGATCATAACCATTGAGGTAATGAGTCAGAAACTCACTGATGTGCTCGTTTTTCATTCCTTGATATAATGTAATGTGGTGCACTCTGATGAAATTGCTTTTCAACTGCTGAAAGACACTCCTTGACGAAGAGAAGGTGGAGAGATGGGGAACTCGAACCTTCAGATGCTATGCTTTTTCCTCATGCCCGGACATGCTCAACAGACTCCCTACATTTTTTTTATTAAGCAGAATACTGACATTCTAACTTCGACTATTTGCCTTGAGTGAGTCCTAACATTTAGCGTCTTGGCTAAGTTTCTGCACCAGAGTAAACATGATGTATATATTTACATGAACACTTGGCTTTTTCTGTGTGGCTACAATTAATCCAGCTGTAAGAATTTTTATATAAAGTAAAATGTTACGTATATAAAGGCCATATTTAGATGAACTGAGTGCCGAGTGTCTTTTTAATGTTTTACATATGGATCTGGTTGATTAAAACCTAGATGAATGATAATGCATGTGATTAATGAATGTGAACTTCAGTATGGATAATCTGAGCAATCAGTGGTACGGAAAGCTCTACATGGCTTATTGGGTAGTACTGCTGTTACACAGCAATAGAGTTGTTTGTGAGTAAGGATTTTACACAGGTTGCATGAGTTGCGACTAAAAACAAGTTGCCGTCTCTAAATTGGCCATAGTGCGCGCATGCGCACGTGTGTGTGTGTGTGTGTGTGTACAGCTTCATACTCTATACTAATGACAAGAAACTCCTGAAATGGGGTAATTGGTGCTTTTCCCTCCAGCTGTGATTTACGTCATGTAGTACTGAATGTACAGAGGCCTTATAGGTAGACAAACACTGAATTGTTGTCTTAAGTGGTATGCCAGTTGAAGTGTACGGAATTATAATTTGCAAATCGCTGGTGGAAACTTGCTCAATATCTAACACCCATATTGCTTTGGTGGAAGGAGATTTGCAAAATGTGGTCTCTGCATTGCTGAAGCAAAAAAATCCCAAAGTGAAAGCCTGTGGCACATGAGCCAAGAATAGTTTTCATCTCAGAATGAGTTTTATAGTTTCCCAGCATGCCATTGTGATAAGGACCCCGCTGACCCAAGTGGTACGGGTGTCTGAGAGCTGCCTGCTTCTGCTCAATTCTGGTGTAACACTAAGCAGCCATTAAATAAAAAAAACAGTGTCATTTATGTTTCAGAAATAACATACTAAGCTGCAATATTTAACAACCGAATAAGATACATAAATAAAAACTGCATTATTATTAAAGAGAGGTTATTAAAAATAACTTGCTGTCAATATATTAATGTGAAGAAAGTAGAATTATTCATATATTAACCTGATTATCACTTTAAAAGAGTATACACTAATCAGGCATAACACGTTACTGACAGGTGAAGTGAATATCATTGGTTAACTCATTACAATGGCACCTGTCAAGGATGCCTTTGTATATTAGGTATGTGAACAGTTAGTTCTTGAACTTGATGTGTTTAAAGCTGGAAAAATGCACAAGCATATGGATCTGAGCAACTTTGATACGTGTCTAAATGACTGCGTCAGAGAATTTCCAAAATGGTAGGTCTTGTAGGATATTTCCAGTATGCAGTGGTCAGTATACCTGCCAAAAGCGGTCAAAGGAAGCCCAACCAGTGAACCAGTGACAGGGTCATGGGTACCCAAAGAAGCAAGTTGTGTGGTCCGATCCCACAGGAGAGTTACTGTAGCATAAATGCTGGCTCTCACAGAAAGGTGTCAGAACATACAGTGCATCACATACAGTGCATCACATACAGTGCATCACATACAGTGCATCACATACAGTGCATCACATACAGTGCATCACATCTTGCTGCATATGTGCTTGTGTAACTGCAGACCAGCTAACCTCTGTCCACTGCTGAAAGTGCCTGCAGTGGATGTGAGCGTCAGAACTGGACCAAGGAGCAATGGCAGGTGGTCTGGTCTGATCGGTCATGTTTATCTTTTACATCATGTGGACGGCCAGGTGTGTATGCATTGTTTACCTGGGGAAGAGATGGTATCAGGAGGGACTATGGGAAGAATGCAAACCAAAAGAGGCAGTGTGATTTTCCAGGCAATGTTCTGTTGGGATACCTTGGGTCCTAGCATGCATGTGGATGTTACTTTGACATGTACCACCTACCTAAAGAAATGCTGCAGACCTTCGTGGCAACAGTATTCCCCGGTGGCCTCTTTCAGCAGGATAATGCAAAAATTGTTCAGGAATAGTTTGAAGAATATGAAAAAGAGTTCAAGGTGTTGACTTGTCCTCCAAATTTCAATCCGATCGAACATCTGTGGGATGTGCTGGGCAAACAGGTCTGATCCATGGAGGCCCCATCTCACAATTTACAGGTCTTAAAGGATCTGCTGCTAACGTCTTGGTGCCAGATACCACGCCTTCAGAGGTCATGTGGAGTCCATGCCTCAACAGGTCAGAGCTGGTTTGGGGGCACGAGGGAGACATACAGATTCTTAGGCAGGTGGTTCTAATGTTATGGCTGATTAGATTCCTAAATTTACAGTAAATTACAAAATTATGACATGAAAAAATGACCTAACAGTAAATACTAGAGAGGGTACCTCAGATGGACCTGGAACAGCACTATAAAACTTCAGTTAATGACCTAACAGTAAATACTAGAGAGGGTACCTCAGATGGACCTGGAACAGCACTATAAAACTTCAGTTAAAATTTGAGAAGGTCTTTGCCATAGTGTCTGCCCCTGGATTTCTGACACACACCACTGCTCTCTGTTTAGAGGCTGTTTAAGGACAGCTGAAGGCACAATGCATAAGTAGCTACATCTATTCATAATCCAACAGTTTTCCTCTTGTGATCCAGGGAACAGTAGTGATATGATACCAAGGGGCATAATCAGAATTGTTTTAGTAGCATGTCAAGCTGTCTGAATTGGAAAAACTGTGTGGGTTTGAACGGAATGAAAATAAATGCTATGTATAAATGCTAATTCTGGGAGTTATGTGTTTTGTGTATCTCATTTTTTACTGCACTGTCCAGTGAATTTTAACACTAGATTTCGCTTCTTGTAGTTCCATGATCAGGTTGAAAATGAGAATTTGTCCATATTGCTGACTTTGAAGATTAAAAGGTCCATTGATCTTCCAACTGCTTGTCCTGGGCAGGGACACCGAGGTTCTGGAACCTACCCTCACAAGCACAGGGCAGCGGAACACCTGGATGGAATGCAAGTCCATCTAAAGTCACATGTAATCACACACTATGGGCATTGTAGAGATGCTAATCCACCTAATTGCTTTCTGAGCACAGGAGGAAATCACTTTATGCACCACGGGGAGGATGTGCAACCTTGCGGGGGGATGTGCAACCTCACACACAAAGAAGGGGTGAGATTCAAACTCCTGCTCTGTGGAAAGACGAAGGTATGAAACAGCACTGTGTCGTTCCATGGGCACACTGCGATCCACCCAGCCCTGTGAATGACATTTATAATTATACCACTGGACAGCAATCATCTGTCTCGAGACAGAACCACAGAACCACCCGTCATGAATGTCAACAATACGGGGCTGGCAGATAGCACTCGCTGCAGAAATCGGGGCAGTCTGTCTGCCTCAGCATGGCTGAAAAATCCACATTATCCGTAGACGCGAGGAACTGCACTGAGCCACCTGCTGGCATTTCCTCTTGCCTTGATAACAGACATGTCCATCCTGAAGAGGCAGCGGCCTCCCTGCTCTAATAAGGACCCATGACTGGCCACTCAGGGAGAAAAAATACACCCCCAGACTCGGCTGACTAAGAAACCTACATAACTCTTAATCCCCCAAGCCCAAAACCACTCCGAGTCGACACCTCTCCCTATTAATGTCCTGCTTACCGCTAATAAGCCCCCCCCCCTGCAGTACCTGTGCCTCCCCAGCTGTAGCAACTGCTACCCACTGAGCCAATACAGTAGATGAGCTCATAAAACAGTAAATTTAACACATATTCCACCTGCTCATTACTTCTAAGACATTCATAACTGAAGATGGTCTATGTTGCCTGTTCACCAAAATACACTTTGTATAAGTAGCTATTTATATGCTGCAGCCTTTCATTGATGTTCTGTTCCTGCTCCCTAATTCTGCAGCCACACTTCATAGCACATTTTCCCTCCATCTTCACCCTGTCATCCGTCTGCTCGCCACTCAGCTTCTATGGAAACTAGTGCCTGATGTGCAGCGTTTTTGTACAGTAGCTCCACTGAGGACTTACCAGGAGCCTGTAAGAGTTATTCCGCGACACCACGCCATTTGAGCAACCGTTTTAAAGGACTTAAGCCTCCATTTAAATGAATACATATTTACCGCCTGTTTAAGTAAATAATATCCAATTTTATTACAGTAAAAATGCCATTTTTAGCACTAATTTAGATACATTTTGATACATATCTAATGCGTTTACTTTCTTAGGTCTATTGCAGTCTTTCTACTAGTTATATCAGATCAAGCACTAATAAAATATCTTGCCTTGGAGCAAAATAATCAGTTCTTTAACTCAGCGATGTACTCAGCGATGTACTCAGCGTTGTACTCAGCGTTGTACTCAGCGATGTACTCAGCG